GATCCAAGTTTTCTGTGATTCAGGAATATCTTTGATAATTTACCTCTGGAAATTTCCCAGAACAAAGCCACAGTCAGGTTTAAGCCTGGGGCATATTGTGGGTCTATCCTCCTCCTGATTCCTTCCACTTGCTTTAAATTCACAGAACGTAAATGGCCCACAACAGCCCGTCCTTTAAATATAAAAATATCTTGCACACACAGTATTTCTGACATCTAGAAGACTGCCTTAATTACAAGGGCAGTCACTGGGAGGCAGCCAGGCCTGACTGGAGGAAGATGAGGACTTCTGTCTTATTTTCAGCTTTACCTCTTCTGTCCTCACACTCACCTGACATTTCACCAACTAATAGACATGAGAGGTCTAGTCCTTCAGCACAGATGTCCTCCATCATGGTCTGCACCAGCCTTGCAGAGAGCAACTAATTTGAAAAGCTTTTTGAAAGAACACAGGTTGTAAAAGCATCCAATGGCCAGAATTTAAAATTCAAATGATAAGTTAATACTATTCAGTAAGGCAGGCAAATACAGATGCTAGCTAAAAGGAAATATTCACCCCCCACCTCCCCCCCACTCTCCCCCACCCCCATCCCCCCCAATCCTTAAATTGTGATATGATGATTTTTTAAAAGCACATTTTAATTTAAATTAAGTTTGTTGAAGTGCACAGCATGAGGGATTACATGTATATAGCTGAAAACACCAATGGAAAGTCCTTATATCAGCACATATAACGAGACAAATGTGGTGCATGATAATATGATTCACATAGGATGCCTCCCCTTCTCTTATTCTTCTGCAGAAGTGGGAGGGTGTAGTTCCTGGAACTGTGGTTTAGGAAACAGACAGTGTGGAAATCTACATCCATGTGAAATTCTGGGAAACTAGTGTCTGGTTTTAGATGCTGCAATGTTTTCAGACAAATTAGAGTACTGTCACCTGAAAGCCATAGATTTTCCTCTGTGTTTGGCAATCTCTGTGAGCAGTTTCCATGAAGAAGCAGGGTCGGCTTACTGCTATCAGCCACTGGCAGGGACCTCGACCTTTCTGCATGAACCAGCCACATCACAACTGAGATACGAAAGATCACAGTATTTCCTCTGCTTCAGGCCTCTTATATATTTTGTGGTATATAGTGTTTAAAAACACTGAAGTCAAGAGATTATATCCTAAGGGTAGAATACAGAGGTATGTAGTTTAATGAGGGAAGGAAACAAGTGATCGTAAATTACAGAAAACTCTGCTGAGTTGTGGGTGATATGTATGTACAGAAAAAGTAACATGCTTGCAAATCTCTGTTATCATTCATCAACAGAGAAATGAACTCTTTTTTCTACTGCCATTTGACGTATGTAACTCAGTTATAAAAGCACTAGCTGATGTCTCCATAGAATGGCTTTTTCAAGTTGGAATTTCTATCTGTGCTCCCAAGAAAAGCAACCTCAGCATCATTTTTCAGACTAATGGAAAATGAAAAAAGTTAATATGATGCATCCCTGTGGGACTCCCATAGCTGTTTCTATCTGTTTTTATTTATTCATTTCTCCAAGCGTGTGGCACCCCTTTATGCATGAGTATGTCTAAATTGCAATAGAGAATACACGAGTGACACAACTGAAGACTTACGTACATGTAAGACTTTTCCTCTGGAAGGATGACCAGAAACACTTCTAGCATGAGAAAGTATAAAAAATTCAATTATTGCTTCCCTTCCCTTCCCTTCCCTTCCCTTCACTAACCTAGGAACAACTTCTCATGTCTTTGGGAACTGAAATTGAGGTCTCAAGGAAATGAATGTTTCTCTGCTTTTCTGCAAAGTCATGTGTTTTTCATACCCCCATCTTTATCTCAGCTTGCATAACTTGTAATAGTCCAAACCTCCTTACTTCTCATGGCAAATCACATGTAAAAGGCGTGTAAGTCATGACACTGGAGGAGAGTTTCAGAGCTGTCTTCAGCTGGCCTGAGACTCCTCAGCTTGCAACCCCCCTCCCCCTGGAATAATGACTAGTTAATAAGCTAATACATTGTTTGCTTAAAATATATGTGATCATACGCAAGAGCTTGCTCAGAATACACATAATAGGTTGTTTTGGTGCACCTAATCTGAGTCAGTGAAGTACACATTAGTCATTGTCTTCTCACTGGATGAAACAAACCAGGGAACGGGATGGGACAAAGGCTTAATTCCCACTTAGCTAATATCACACAAGATATCAGCTTTTCCCCCATGGTTTCAGTTTCCCCTTCTTTTGCCTTCCTGAAGAAAATTTTCATGAAACTGTGCTGTTCAGTCTTAATCAGGTATTTTACTCCACCTTCTTGAGAGTGAGCGGATTACAGAGCTTTGACATTTTTCCACATAAAAAGTACTCTTCAAATTTAACTTTGATTAATGACTGTCTTCTCTGCCTTCTTTTTGAAGACTAAACTTGGGCCGTTTTATTTTATGGAGTGCTTTTCCTCATTAATAACTGAAGGATTCTTCCTCTCCATTGCACAAACAGTTGGGTAGCCAGAGAAGACTAATTGAAAACCAGCCTGGAAGAATCCTGTATGGGAAGGCTTTTGCTACCACAGGAAATTAAGAAGCTAGAAGGAGAGGGACTGACTTTCTGTGTGATTAAGGCCTATTTATATTCTGAAATGTGGTTTGGCCTAGCTATTTGAAAGTTGTAATTTTATGTAAAGGAAAAATGTCAAGAAAAGAAAATTGTATCATCTGTAGATTCAAGTGTGAATTTCTGTTCATGGCTACTCTTGTTCAAAATGTCAAAGCAAGGACAAAAAGATTTTTATTCCCCAAAACATTAAATACTACATAATCAAAATCTTAAATGTTTTTAATTGCATTATAGTCAGTGAATGCTCAGAAGAAAAGCTCTTCTGTTTTGAAATGGATTTTGAGTTACTATATCCAATTTCCTTTCCTTAAGAAACTGTAGGCATATTCTGCATATCCATATGATCTTCCATATTTTTGCATTCATACTTCTCCACTCCTGCCTAAAAATTCAGCTATCTCTGTACAATTAAAATCTGAATGCATTTATTCTATGAGGATGCAGCTGCTGTAGATAACAGATATATAGTCAATAAACATGCCAAGCAACCTGAACTTTTTCTTTGAAGGCTTCATCTGCAGTGGTTATCAATTTGTTGCAGCGTCTGCAATAATCCTCAGCAGCTGGATGGGCTATGAAAACTGGAAATGAAGTGCATAAGCCAAGAGCCTTTTGCCAAGAAAATTTTAATTTGCTTACATTGCAAAAGCATCAAAGTACATGTTTCCTTGACTTCTTCAAGATTACATCCTGGATCCAGACAGCTTAGGTCATGAGTTTACATCCTGTATCCAGACAGCTTAAGTCATGTGTTTCCAACTTTGTGGCTTGTCTAGGCCTCACTGGCTGAAGAGGAATTGTTTTGGGCTGCATATTCATAGGTTGCTCTGTAAGTAATGCCTCTTATGTATTTCCATGGAAATTACAATAGATACGATGAGTACAGTAACTCTGCTTGATAGAGAAAATTCTCAGCTACAGAAGAATAATTTGTACCATACTTGCCACTATTAGCTACATATTTTCACCATCAGTAAATAAGAGCCTGCAAGCCATGTTCCTCAAAACTGGCAGCAGCTGAGGTGACTCACTGTCACTGTCACCACTGCTGAAATGCACCACCCACCACCTCACTGTGCTCATATATATGGTTTTACCTCCCTAAACATTCAGCAAACAATGACAAATATCACTGGCTGCCTTTCTTTCCATATGGAGGAATTCAATGGTATTCCCTTGCTTCATATGCACTTCTTTGTCAAACATCACTCTGTCAAACTGCCACTCCACTGCTACACGTTTCATGACAACAAAATGTAATGGAATATTGGTAGGAGGGGTCAGTCTCTACTGCCATACCACCAATGTATGTATCTGATGTCATGGGCCAACATAATAAAACAAGAGGCATTACTTTTGGAGCAGCCAATATAAAATATATAATATAGTTAATAAATAAGTAACAAAACGAATTTTAATTTTTAATACTTCTATTGGTACAGTTTTAAAAAGAGAGCAACAAAAGCATAAAACTAATGGTATATGTCACTTTGTTTTTTCAAACTAACACATCAGTCTGGTTCAGTGGCCGTGGTCACAATTCGTAGTGAGTTCTCAAGGTGCTCATCAGAGATTTTTGATGAAATTTTATTCTTCTAGTGCCTCATTCTTGACAGCAGTTGTTCACAAATGTGCACACTGCCCAAAGAAATGACATGAATAGAGAGTGATTGTGAAGAGAGGGATATTTTCCTCTTGAAAAAGTCTGATAAAGAGCCATTACCCCATTTTTACGTTGAATGTCTGACTTCAACTCTACATATTCAATCTGAAAAATATATTTATGTTGAATGAAAGTGGAGTTGTAAGTATAGCAAAAATTTGATTATTTCTTTCAGCAATCTTGAAACCTGTTCTAAAACTCCTTTATCAAAACAGAAACAAGTCTGTATATTTTTTGCTGCTCACAGGACTATGTTTAGCCAGTGTATCAAAGTGCGTACAGCTATCTGCCATAACTTGAGTTAGCACAGCACAGTAAAAAATAAACTTTGAGCCATCTTCTGGTATTTCTGAATAAGGATGAAAAAATGTCCTTCAAAATAATAAGAGAAACTTCTGCAGGTGCCAAGAATGAGATTCTTGACCAAGCTGTAGCTTTTGGTTAGGACAGGCGACTGAACATCTCAGTATTCTGCAGGTTAGAGTGAGCTGCTCTATGGCTGAAATGCAAACTAGTCAGGATCAAGACAGCTGTCTAGACCATTAACAGCTTGTTTCATTTCATTCCACAGAGAAATCCTATGGTCAAGGGCACCCCGGCCTCCTCATCTCTTCTCTGATCCAACTCCATCGTGTCTGATTTCTACCCTGGACTCTCAAGGATATAATCACCCAGGTAAGAGGTAACTGTAAAGCATGTATCATGTATAGTATAGAAAAAGGGGTCTGGGGGGGGGAGGAGGGTTCAGACTCCTTGCAGTTCACCTGGAGGGGATGATGGAATAGAGTGTAAACCCCAATTAATTGTTTCTGCTAGCAAATCAGGAAAGCAAAAAAGATACAGGAGTGTGTGCCAAAATTCTTCCTTCCCTAACCTGTATCCTCTGTTCCCTCTCTTGTTTTTTTTTTCTTGTACAGTTGTGTTCTGTCAAACCTCTTGTTTCATTTTAGTATTTTGTAAAGCCCATCCCAACTTTTATTCCTTGTTTATCAGTAAGGGGAACAAAACAGAAATAAAACAGCATGGTGGCTTTGACAAACCTGGGGCAAAGAAGGTAAAAACCTCTATTCTGACTGAAGGAAAGAGGTGGAAGTGGGATATTTCTTTTTTTTTTTTTTCTTTTTTATGTGTGTGTGTTGGGTGGGGATATCACTGAGTATGAGGAATGAGGGATCCCAGAGCCAACTTTAGCATGGAGTTAGCTGTTGTCTGTGCTGCCTCCAATTCGGGATGGTAACGATGCAGCTTGGAAGCATGTGTGATTGGGTTTCTGTGGAATGTGGCACCAAAAACAACCTGTAGTTGGTGCCAGTTAGCGCTTTGCAGATCATATTGCAGAGCTGGGCCCATGGAAATCTGAAACCGCTGGAAGAAAAAAGAAAGATGACTCCTTCCACGAACACTTGTGCCCACATTTTGCATATTTACATCATCTGCGTATTACTTGCATCCATCCATTACAACCATCACTTGCATATGTAAATACATGTCAAATCTTGTGACTCATTCCTCTGCCCCTGAATTACATGTAAATTGCCAGTGGATGGGAAGGCATTGGGTTGCCTATTTGGGTCTCTGCACTGATACCAGCTGTGGGGAGTGAAGGGAATCAAACCTGCCATGCAGAGTTCTTACAGCTCCACAGTAGCAACCCACAGTGCTTTGTGTCAAGGGTCAGGCAGAGAGGTATCACAAATTTATTTTTGTGCATGCTTTCTTAAATAAAAGTGTTTACGGTTTGACACTTTCATGCCAGTATTGCATTTCTTTTGGCTGCGTCTAGCATGTGGGCTTGGTTCCTGTTTACCAGTTACCTTGAAAAGAAAATTTGGGTGTGGACATTACTAAATTAACAGCCTCCACTTAAGTGTACATTGCAACTGAGACTTTTCTGGTTATCAAGAGTCAGAAGTCCTAACAGCTGTCTGTTTTCCCAGCACTGAGACCAGTGCATCCTTCAACTTTCATCTTGGCCAGAAAAGCTGTGAAAACTACATTGTGGCTGAGAAGCTCCTCAAATTCTGCTTGCAGTAAGCTAAAATACAGTAGGAATATTTGGGCAGCCTCAAACACCACCTTAAAGGAAAGTTTAGGACGCTAATGGTAGGAGTGCTGAGGAGCCAGTGAGTACATATTAATGAACATAGTTACAGCATGAGAATTAGTGCAGTTACCACTGTACAATGATGTATTTCCTGGGATAAAAATGATACCTTGTACATCTACCAGAGAATGAAAATCAGTTCAGTGCAGCTGACTGGAGTATGTGTTGTTCCTATGCAATGCTGTAGTAAAATGTAGCACTTCTCTCTCTAAGTATCTTCAGAAAAAAAAAATTTCAGAACCAAGTATAGTCAGAGGAGAGACATCAGTGTTGGTTTCACCTGCATTTTATCAGAGACAGGAGATGCAGAACATCTTTAATAGACTTATGCGAATAACTGATTATTTTGTTATTCAGCAGTTCAGAAATTGAAATACATGACTGCACTACAAACCATTCTGCAAGCCTTCTTTACTCTTTAACGTATGCTGGGTCTCTTGCTTCACAAGAGATTACTTTCACAAGAGATTACTCTTAGTATTTCCAACTTCCCATCTTGCTATAGTAGGATATAAAGCAGATTAGCAGATCTGATGTGAACCATCACTGTGCCCTGTGTGCAGTTCTGTTCAGTAATCAGATGTGTTAAAGCAAAAAAAAGTGGAGAGTTGTTGATGTACAGAATTCTTTCTGCAGTAATGATGGGAAGTCCTGCATTAGACTGTGGTACTAACATCCTTATCTTTTGAAGTCTTGCTTCTGTCAGCAGAGTAAGGGCTTGAACATGTTGGTTCCTCAGTAAAGACTCCTTCCAAGACTCCTTGCAGTGACTGCCTTGCCTTTGCCCTGAAGTCCCGCCCCACAAAAACGTACAACAGAGGGTTGATGCAGCTGTTAGCATATGCGAGTGCTACAGAGAGGTGATCCCAGAGGATCAGTGATTCCTTCAGTTCTGTACCAGGAGTAGCCACAAGGGACAGAATCCCAACTATATGGTAGGGAGCCCAGCAGACAAAAAATGCAACTACCACAAGAATGATAGTTCTCAGCATCTTGCTTTGTGGCTTACGATAATTACTTGCACGCATCCTGAAAGCAATAAGGGCATAGCAAACTGCCATTATGCAGAAGGGAAGTATGAAGCCAAAGACAGCCCTAGTAATAGTTATTACAGTTAAAGGAAAGGGCATGGCATAATCATTACCACTGAAGACACTGTCAAAATCAAGCAAATCAAGAGGAGGATCAAGTAGCTTTAAATTGAAGTCACTGTTGGATGGTACAGGCAAGTTGGTATTAGGTAGATCACTCTGAGATTCCAATAGCCTGATGTCAGGATAGGCAGTCGAATTTAACAAGGAGTTCACATCTACAGTGGCATGAGAAAGGTGAGCTTCTGCAATTATGCCTTTGTTGGTGGATATGCTGTTTGCTTGAAAATCTAGGTAACTATAACTATCAGTAGGCTGATGAGCAAAGATGGTGCCAATATATGTGACAGCTGGTACTAAAGGTGAGTATTCTTCCAATAACCCAGTTACAGGATCGCTGTCATCCATATATTCTAGTATTTCATAATCTCCAAAATTGTACCCACACTCAGTTTTTCCACCATCAGTGATCGTGTTGCGGTAGTGAAAGACAGGACAGCAGAAAATAAAGGCTAGGATCCAAATGCCACTGCATAGTAGTGAAATAAACTTAATTGTTCGATGATTTTGACACCAGACGGGTTTCATCACTAGGAGGCACCGGTCGATGCTGATCACCATAAGTAGGAAAACACTAGCAAACATGGTGAAGATTATGACTGATGGGATGACTTTACAGAGAAACCAACCATATGGCCAGTGTTCGTTGAGGAACAAGTGAACAATGAAGAATGGCAGAGACAAGCAGCACATGAAGTCAGCCACAGCAAGGTTTAGGAACCAGATGATGTTCACAGACCTCTTCATTTTCAAACCAGCTACCCAGATAACCAACCCATTGCCTGGGATACCTATGATGAAAACGAGGATGAAGATAACCAGGGAGCCAATGGATTCTGGTGCATAATATATAGCATCCTGTTCATGTGAACTGCTGTTAACCAGGAGTGGAGGCATTCTGTAGTTAGAAAACAGAGAAGAAATTAGTAGGCACCTCCCCAGGTTTTTTGTCTGTACTGAAGAATCTCTGAGTCAGGAAACAGTACTGAGCTGGATGGATACAAAGGCATCAGCCTATACTTGTTTGCACTAAATGCTTACCTCTACTAATCTAGAAATTATTCAGCTTCATCATTCTTATAGTGGCTTAGTTAAGAAAGTCCACTATTCAAACAGGAGATCTGTATGCGCTTATATTCTTCTATTTCTGTCATCCTTTTTGATTTCAGCCTTGTTCTTTTTATTCTCTACTGAAGTTCCCACTTTATTTATATGCCCTCAAAATCACCATTTTTCTTTCCTGATCAACTTCCTGCTTTGTATGCAATTTTCTTTTACAGAATGATGTCAGCATTTTAGTTTCGTTTCCCTTTCAAATGAGCAATCTTTTCCTGGTATAACCAGTTAAATAGACTTAGGTTGAGAAGGCAATGATTATCTTACTGGAATAACTCTGCCCCATTTCCTGGAAATTATAAATAGAATGGATAAGACAGCAACTCTGTTTGTTAAAGGACATTTTTAAGGAAGTCACAGTAAGCACTTCCTTCTCCTTTCTTTTCTAGCCTATACATATGCCCTGAGCTCTTTGCTAGATCTTTGGAAAGCTAGTCTTGATGAGAAAGGCAAGAAATAAATGGTTTAAGAATGACAGAGATACAGTTGAATAAAAAAGAAATAAGGAGCAATAGTAATACGATTATTGAACCACTTAGGTTTAAGAAAAGCTATTATATTGCATGAAAGTGAAGCTGAGTCACTGAACATCTTGGAGTGGTTTAAAACTGTGAGAGGTGGCAGTAGAAAAACTTGATTTGTTCAGTCATTCTTAGATGTAGATGCTAGTTAACTAAGAAGAGAAAGTTAAGAAATCTAGAAAAGCAAAAGCAGGTCAGAGAAAAAGAGCTTAATACTCATGTTGTAAGCTTTAACAAAATTGTTTTTAAAATCCCTGTTAACTACAGTCTTGACAAATCAATGAAGATGGTTATGTTGCTGAATGATCAGTAAAAGAATTTCCAGAAGGCAAAGAAAATGCGTAGGCAAGAGTTGAATACAACCTGCACAAGTAACTGAGATTATATGAATAAGCAAACCAAGACTGTTTCTACTTAAACCTCTGTTATGCCAGTAATGAGATGCCAGTCATAGACTGCTAAGTGCAGGTCTAAATCTATGCTATTATTAAAAATAAAACAAAATAAGAACAACCACATCCAAATAATCTTTCTCTTTCTTGTATAACATATAGTCTAAAGATGGAGTACATCACTCCAGCGTTTGAACTGTTCCATCACAAAGAAAATTATGTAAATGGTTACAACAGACATTGCAATTAACTTGTAAATGGTTACAACAGACATTGCAATTAACTTTTTTTTTTTTTTTTTTTTTGTAATAACTGTTCACAGTCTTTTAGGTGAGTTGACTTGTAAGGAAAGCTATGAAGTAAGTCATTGGAAAGCAGCAATTACGAAGATGGAAATGAGAACTGAAGGGGGGGACAAAGGTTTTCAAGAGTGAATAATATGAAACTGCACATTAAAGTAGAAAGCAAGACTGTAGCTTATTGCACCTACCTCAGTGAAGCAAATATTGCAGTGCATCAGGGTACAGGAAGCATCGGTCCTGTGTCCAGAGTGACTGCAAAAAAAGAAGCTCATTACATTTTAGGAACTGCTTTTTTTCCCTTAATTTGCATGTGTATGCAAGGTAACCTTCCCACCCTGAGGGAGAGGCTTATAGTGTCTCTTATTTGAAGATTTAAAGGCAATTGGCAGGTAAGTAACAAAGCAAGAAAACCATAAGAAGCGGTTTCATCACTGTCAAGATGAAATACTGTCCTACGTCAAAGAAAATCGGGAAGCTGAAGAGTGATAATCACAGACGCATACTTTAAACTTTCCATAAGAAGACAGAAAATCTCAATGCCAAATCAGTTGTCTTGCCTACTAACGTAACAGTGAAATGTTCTTCATTTACTTCACAAATACAAAACCTAGCGCGATACCATCAGGTGTCTGATCTGTTGTTTTGTAGCCACTTCATCTTTTTTCACATCAGTACGTTCATTTAGCTCATCCAGTTTCTTATTATACTGGATTCTTGACAATCCAGATCAGCTTCTGTCCCAGCCTGAGTTTAGTTCACAAAATACAGGACATTGTACTCAAGAAACCACAATTGCATGTATCAAAGATCAAAGGCATTTTAGTCTGTTTTGTTACCTTTCCGTACAGCAGATATGGAAAACTTCAGTATTTTTTTATTTTTTTGTGCATGCGCGCATGTTTTTTTTTTTGTTTTTTTTTTTAAAAGGAAAAAGAAAACGGAACTTGGCCTGATGAAATGTTAGAAATGGTGGATTGGTCAACGGAAATGCTGATACCACAAAACATTGGCAGGCTATAAGAAAAGCCAAGGCATTTAAAACAAGTAACAATAGAGTTCCCCCCAACACACCTAATCTGGGAAGTCAAAAAACTGCTAGCAGGAATGGCAAAGCACGGGTGTACAAGAATTGGCCTCAGTACTTTGATTTCAGATGGAAAATGAACCATAACTTTGGGAAGTTCTGCTTCAAAGCATGTTATCTCTTCTGTGCAACACACGAATGCTGACTCAAACACAAAAGCCATGTAACCACAGACAGGAAGACAGGCCAGAAATTCACTGTTCCCTTAAAGATAAATGGACTATCAGCAGCCTGCAAAGACAATTCCTCTATCTGTGTCTGTTCTCAGCTGCTGTCTTTCCTGAGGGAATCCAGAGACCTGGTTAGAAAGGGATCTGTGCACTGGTGCCTTGTTGGGAGGAGTGTATTCCTGTGTATTTCTGTTGGCCAAAGGATGCACATACTTTTCACTAGCATGTGACTGGCTAGCTCCAGTCAAACTTTTCCTTGCAAGAAGACCTTTCTATACCAGTCTATACCAGATCAGATCTGATTCCTCCAGTTAAAACTTCTCCCATTGCAACCCTGTCACAACAAGTACATTACCTTTAGTCCAGCCAGCTAATTCTGGACAGTGACAAGATTATGAAATACCTTATTGTGTATGTTTCCAAGCCAACTGAAATTTTAAGCAGCTCCACTAGTAATGTGTTTTGCACCCACTCCAGAATGAAAAAGCTAATGATGTAGGCATTTAAAGGAGATGGCATATTTTGTTACTATCAGAAAATGGTGACTGATCAAATTAGACCTTTGAAAGCAGTTGGGATGGCAAACCCATATCACCACACTATACTAATTTCTTCTCTTCCAGACTTCACCCTTCCCCAGTTGTTAAAGAGTCAGCTTGGAAGGTCTCTAACAGAATCACTGAAAGAACTTCTGGAGGTGGTCTAGTATACCCCACTGCACCAAGCAGGATTAGCTAAAGCAGATTACTTATGACTGCTTTAAGTTTCCACAGAAGGAGGCTTCCCAGCTTTTCTGGAAATTCTGTTCCAATTTTCAACCACCCTCAAACAAAAAAGTGTGTTCTTGTGTCTTTCAGTCGGTATTTCCCATTTTTCACTTTGTGCCAACTACCTGTCACCATACACTACTGAGAAGAGTCTGGCTCCCTCTCCTTTACATACTCTGATCAGATAGCCCTGAGCCTTCCCTTCCCCAGGCTGGACAGTCTCTGCTATCACAGCTCGTTCTTGCATAAAAAGTGTTCCAGTCACTTAACCATCTTATTGGCCTTTCACAAGCCTCACTCTGCTGTGTGGAGAGTTCAGAACTGCACACAGCACTTTAGATGTAGCCTCATCAGTGCTGAGGAAGGGGAGAATCCCTTTCTTGTGCCAGCTGGCAGCACTTCTCCTAATGTAGCACTGAGTGTTGTTAGCCTTAATAGCTATGATGGTGCATCACTGGCTCATCTTTCAGCTTTTTTTTCACCAGAACCACAAGACTATCAATCTCTGCAGAGCTGCTTACCAGTCAGTTGGCCGAAGAATGTACAAGAGCACTGAGTTGTTTCCTCTCGGGTGCTGGAATTTGCACTTCCCCATCTTGAACTTCTTTATGTTTCTCCCTGACCAATTCTTAGCCTGTTGATGTTCCTCTGAATGCCAGCAAAACCACCTGGTGTGTCAGCCAGTTCTGAAACATCTGCAAACTTGTTAAGAGTGCACTCTGCTTCACAATCCATGTTTTTAATAAAGAGCTAAACAGTACCAGAATGAGTGTTAACTGCTGCTGAATACCACTACTGACTTGCATCCACTTGGATTTAGCTCTTCTGATCACGACTCTCTGAGCTCACTACTTCAATCACTTTTCGGTCCACCCCACTGTCCTCTTATTTAGCCCATACTCCATCAGTGTGTCTATGAGGATGATTGTGTTGAAATTTACCTTGATGGTAACTATCAATTGGCCACCACAAACAATTGACTAAAACCTTAATGCAAGTTACAACTGACATTGCTTCTTTCAGATGTTACAAAACTGCAGCAGTCTACCAGTCACTGTTACATACCAGTTAGTTACATCCAAAAAAAACCCCACAGAATCATTGAAAGGTTTGAGTTGGAAAGGAACTTTGAAGATCAGCTAGTTCCAATTCCTCCTGCAAAGACACTCTTTCCACTCGATTGGATTGCTGAAAGCCCTATCCAACCTGGCCTTGAACACTGCCAGGAATGGGGCAACCACAGCCTCTCTAGGCAATCTTTTTCAGTATCCAACTAGCCTAATCATGAAAAATTTATTCCTTATATCTAATCTAAATGTACTGTAGTTTAAAACTACATTTTGTCCTATCATTATACTCCCTGATAAAGAATCACTCTCCGTCTTTCCTGTGCAATGAGGTCTCACTGGAGCCTTCTCTTCTTTAGAGTAAATAACTCCAACTCTCTCTGCCTTGTCTTCATAGGAGATTGGAGATTGCCCCGTCCTTGGATGTGTTCAAGGCCAGGTTGGACGGGGTCCTGGGCAACCTGATCTAAATGTGTATGTTTGGTGGCCCTGATAGCCAGGGGGGTTGGAACTACATGATCCTTGAGGTCCCTTCCAACCCGGGTGATTCTGTGATTCTGTGATTGGAGAGGTGTTCCAGCCCTTTGATCCTCCTTATGGACCTATTCTGGACTTGATCCAAAAGGTCCATGGCTTGTACCAGGTATCTCAGTTCTAAAAGTATTATTCCAGACGGGCTTTCATGAGAGTGGAGTAGAGGGGGAGAATCATAGACTTGCAGAATCATAGAACGGTTTGGGTTCTAAGATCATCTGGCTCCAACTCCCTGTTATAGGAGCTGCTCCCTTGCTCAAAGGCCCATCCAGTCTGGCCTAGAATGCTTCCAGGGTGGGGGCATTCAACACCTCACTGGACAATCTGTTTCAGTGTCTCACCACCCTCACAGAATAAAGAATTTCTTCCTAATATCTAGTCTAAATCATGGCCCTTCTCTTGACCCACTCCAACATCCCAATGTTTCAGAACTGGACGCAGTACTCCTGGTGAGGTTTCATGAGAGCAGAGTAGAGGGGCAGTATCCCCTCCCTCAACCTGCTGGTCACACTTCTCTTGATGCAACCCAGGAGATGGTTGACTTCTGGGCTGCAAGCACACAGCTTATGTTGAATCTTTCATCAACTGACACTCCCAAATCCTTCTCCTCAGGGTTTCTGTCAAGACATTCTCCACCCAGCCTGTAACCGTGCTTGGGATTGCTCCAGCCTGGGTTCAATCATGGGGTTGGCATGAACCCACCTCTCAAGCCTGTCCAGGTCCCTCTGGATGGCATCCCTTCTCTCTAGTGTGTCAGCTGCACCGCTCAGCTTGGTATCATCATTGATGTCCTTCACCCTGGCCATCTTCTTTGGATGCAGCTCAGGATAGGATTAGCTTTCTGATTTGCAAGCACGCATTGCTGGCTCATATTCAGGTGTCTCTGCATAAAGTTCTGTTAAAAAACATGTAAAGATGCAATGGAATTCAAAAGATAAATACTTCAGGAAGTATTCAGCAGCATCTTGAATACTGAGCTCTGTGTTGATCCTCTATCACAAAAACAGTTCTGATACCAAAAATTATATAGACGACTGGACAGTCATGGCTCAGAATGGCTTCTGGTGGACATGCTATACAAGTGAGAATGTTTCATCTTGTGAAAAAGACATCTAAGTGATAGCATGAAAGATGAATGGAGAAGTCAATTTGAGGAGGTGTCTCACTGTTGCCACTGTTGAAATGCACTACCCACCACCTCACTGTGCTCACATCCACTGTTTGGTCTCCATAAACATTCAGCATACATTGATGAATGTCACTGACTGCCTTTTTTTTCCACATGGAGGACTTCAATGACACACCTTTTCATCATACACACTCTCATATCAGATATTCATTTCAGGGGAGGTGGACTACATAACCTTTAAGGATCCTTTCCATCTCTAGGGATTCTATGATTCCATATTTCTACATCATCTAGTCTTTTATTTGTGTTGAAGGTGGTTATTTTTATGTCTAAAATATGGAGCATTTCTATCATGACACTACATTTCAGCAACCTGAGTCTAACCTGCTGTGGTTAGGAGAAAAAAATAACCACACAACTCACATTGAAACTGTCTTGAAGTATCTCTATTTCTCTAAAATTGCTGACTGCGTGAAGTCAATAGCTGTGCCATTTACTGTATGAAAGACTGAAGGGGAAAAGTAACAAATAATGTGTTAATAGCTGCCATTGATGTCGGCTGCTATAAACCATTTTAGCTGCTAGATGTTCTGCAGAAAGAGTAATTTTCTGTGAGAAAACACAGAGTAAGAGCTTTAGGAAAAGATGTTCA